CTCTCTATCTCTCTCTCTGTCAAATAAATAAATAAAATCTTTAAAAAAAAAAAAAAAAGTTGGTGTTAATTGCTTGCTCTTTTAGCAGACAAGCAATCTGTTTCAGTGTGTGAGTTTCTAGGTCATTTCTGTACCCCCTGAAAAAAGCTCACCTAGGCTTTACACTTGTCACCAGCAGTTAGATGAGTGATTAAATGAAAGCTTGTATTCAAACTGTGGTAGAGTTTAAACAATTTTGTGAAAATTTGATTCTTTCTCTCTTAGAAGTTTTGATCTTTGAAAGAATTTCTACTTCAAACATGTGGTTGAACTTTTAAAATCCTGTTATTTCGGCTTGAGCTTTTGGATTTTTTTGGGTTTCGATAGTGTGAATTAATCTGTTCCAGGATTTGCTCTAATGGGAAAAACCAAGAGTGGTTGAGCATTTTAGTTTATTTATCAATCACGGCATTTGTGGGCCGAAGTGGTTGGTGAGCATATTCCAGCAATTACGCTGCAGAGCCCTATGCTTTATTTCCATTGTTGTCTTTGGAATGAATTACTTTTATGTTATTTGAGGAATAATTGGTTTGAAATCCTTTTTCGGACTAACAAATACTCTCTTGTTTTGATTACAGAGTCTGCATATATACATGTAAGAGAAGCAAAAATGTCAGATGATATCAGGAAAAGGTTTGAATTTCCAAATTCTCTTATCCAATCACAGGTAATTTTTATTTAATTATTTTTGCTTCATGGTAACAAATGAACCGCTTTGGTGGATTGTTAGTAGAACTTTACATTTTCAACATTAAATGTTTTATTCTATATATAGGATTCTACATATATATTGCTTTATTAACTTTTATATAAGTTAATTTGAAAATTTATATTTGAGGGGCACCTGGCTGGCTCTGTCAGTGGAGCATGCTAATCTTGATCTTAAGGTTGTGAGTTCCTGCCCCACGCTGGGTGTAGCTATTACTTTATTTTTATTTATTTATTTATTTTTATTTATTTATTTTTTTTTTAAGATTTTATTTATTTATTTGACAGAGAGACAGCGAGACAGGGAACACAAGCAGGGGGAGTGGGAGAGGGAGAAGCAGGCTTCCCGCTGAGCAGGGAGCCCGATGCGGGGCTCGATCC